GAGAAAAAGAGAAAAAGAGAAAAAGATAAAAGAGAAAAAGAGAAAAAGATAAAAGAGAAAAAGAGAAAAAGATAAAAAGATAACAAGGGAAATTAAAAAGCTAGCACTAATTTTATATTTAAAGATAGTAATTAAATATATAAATGCGCAATCTTTGTGGTAGAGCGCGTCGCCCAAGAGCTGGATGTTATGTGCGGCGAAGAGGTTGGCTATGCCATTAGCCTCGAGGGGAAGGAATCAGAAAGGACTCGTCTCCGGTTCTGTACTGATGGCCTTCTACTTTCTGAGGCCCACCGCAATCAGACTTTTGCCGGGTACTCATGTATCATCATCGACGAGGTACATGAGCGCAGCCTACAAACCGACATTCTCTTGTTGTTGCTCAAAACTGCCATCAAGAAGCGGAACGATCTCCGCGTCATCCTCATGTCAGCAACTGTGGAGGCCGCCAAGTTCCAGGAGTATTTTGGCGGAGACACCCCGATCTTGAGCATATCGGGTCGCCAGCATCACGTGGAAGAGTACTTTCTTCCATCGCCAGCAGAGGGGAAAACTCCGGCAACGTCAACGAGTGAGGGGGAAACCCCGGTGTTGGAAGAGGAGGAGGCCACTCCTGATGTGGTGGAAACTGCAGTGTGCACTGCACTGCACATACACAACCACATGGGTCCAGGCGACATCCTGATCTTCCTGTCTGGCGAGCAGGAGATCTATCGGGCCCGAGCCATGCTGATGGCTGAGGCAACATCGCTCGAGGTCATCCCTCTTCACGCCTCGCTCTCGAAGACGGCACACTTCAGCTCATCGAAGGTGCATTGTCAGCACAAACGTGGCCGAGACAAGTTTGACTATCGCAAACATTGTCTACATCATTGACTCTGGACTGGTCAAGGAGATGGTCTGGAACCCTCGTTTGTGATCGCACGAGCTTAAGCGCTCGAAAATCGCAAAGTTCTCGGCTAGCCAGCTAAAAGGTCGTGCTGGTCGTGTCTCCGATGGAGTTTGCTTCCGCCTTTATACCCAGGCAACCTACCGGGACGACTTCTTAGGATTATTAATTCCGGCAATTAAAAGAATAGGCTGGAATCTGTTATCCTAACCCTATTTTATAATAAGCACTCGACCTTTTCCTTTTCTTTTTTCTCTTCCCTTTATCTAATTTTTTCTTTTACATTTTTTATTTCTTTTTTCTTATTTTTTTTTCTATTTTTTTTTCTATTTCTTTTTTTTTTCCTGCAGTCTGATTATGGTCCAGAAAATTGGTACTTAAAAGTCATAATCAATCTATCCTAATGCATTAGAAAATCGAAGAAATCAAAATTTTCAACTAATATTATCGTATAGGACCGAAATGTTTTATGTATATGAATTACTATCAAAGCCGCTGGCATTTCTATGCTTTTCCACACAATGTGACATGGAATATGTTTGGTGAATCACCTGGCTTTCGCCAAAGCCTCTGAATGTATCTCCTCCGACCAAGTAGAACATGGAATATTGGTGATTCACCTGGCTTTCGCCGAGACGACTTCTACTATAAGTCGTCCTCTACGCCTGCGACTGGCTTTGGTTATCCATGGCCGGGGGGTTGCTGAAGATATTGCATCCTGCTTGACCATAGTAAGTGGCAGTGCCGGCTGCCTGTCCGAGCTGGTCGATAATCTCCCGTCTTTTTCCCCAGGTGGCGCAAATTCTGGCCGGGCTCAAGAAATGGTTGATATTCAAAGCGACTTCATTCGCCTCCAGGCGAGGTTGGTACAGGTTTCGATGGCTGTGACGTTAGCATAAGCGGATTATTTCGTGAAAATTGACTTACCTTGCGTTGAACAGCATAACCCGAGAAAGATAGATGGCTAGCTTTTTGTTCCAGTCATCTGCGTAGTGGGCAGCAACCATATCTGCCCTGATGTAGGCTTTAGCAAGCCCGTCGATTGATGGCTTGCCATGCCGGATACCCTGACCGCCGAAGTCGATGTACTCAAAAGGGGCCCATCTCCCCTTTTCATCAACGTAGTCGTGAATGAGCAACTCTCCTGACCTGTCGAGTCGCGCTCTCACGTACGCGTCCCGTCCGGCCTTGCGAACGAGGGGAGTCTTGTACGTCTTGACTCCGAGCATCCCCGAAATCCGGGCGAGTCCGGTGCGTTCGTAGCCAAACGTGTTTTCCTGCTTCGGATCAGGGAGATCCTTAGCATGTTAGCTAGGTCTCCTTGTCGATGGAACATGTGTATTGTGCTCTTACCCTGTTGAAGCGGCCAATCTTGACGTACTGGTCCGTGATCTTGGGCTGCTGCCTCGAGGGACGGCAAGGCTCCTGGTCGCTGGACCAGCCACTAAAGACATGGTTGTCAGTGAACGCCTTCAGGTATGCGGCACTGATGTCAGTGTTGGACCCGCGCCTCTCGGCCCAAATCTTGAGCAGGTCGCCAATCAAGGCCTTCGCGTCCTCGCCACAATCATCGAAGCGGCGGAGCAAGGGCCCTCGAAAGTGATAATCGCGAAGTTCAGACATGATTGATTGATGGTTGGACTGGGGATTTGACGACGTGGTTGAATGGAAATGATGGATTGAGTAGAGGTGCAATGTAACGACCTCGAGTAGTGAGTTGAACGGAGGGGATGGGTGGGTTGGCGTTTGACGACGTGGGAGGAAGGGGGACGATGCGTAGTTCTTGATTGGCACAACAACAGAACAAACGCCGGCGGTCTGTTGACTTTATCTTGATTGTTTTTGGGCTGGATGCAAAACAATCGTCTCGCTCGAGAACAATGGATCAAACAGAGAGCATTGGATAATCCCTTCTCGCAGCATAGAAAAAATTTCATTTGCCTTATTGCCAACTCAAGCTTTCCTTTCCTTTCCTTTCCTTTTGATAACACAAAAAGAAATTGGATCCTCTGCCGCGGCCCAATCCCTCAGACGTTCTCCAACTCCATTGCTCTGAGGTCTTTACTCACCTCCCCCAAACACCTTGTCTCAAGCAATCCTACACCAAACATTGACTCCCTGCAACAACGACAACATTGTCAAGACATTCGGTTGCAATGTAGGTTCTTCACTGATACCTCTGGCCCCAGAGCATTTTTCTTCCTGGTATTGATTACTCACAATCAATTGTAGGGCCACCTTGAGCGTGCGAAAGGTCAGTTGTGTTGCAGATCTCACTGCTCAAGACATCAAGGATGCGCGCATGATCTGGAAGCAGCGGAACCGCATGATACCGAAGTGCGTCCGCAAGAAGAACCGGGACGACAAGGCCAAGTTCGAAGAGTTCCTTGCCTCCATCTTCCTGTCGAATTGGGACAGCTCCGCCGTGCCAGGCCTGGTCACGCTCAATCCGAGGAAGCAGCTAGATTGTGCCACTCCAGTTGGTGTCTGGTCTCGTGACCTCACCAAGGACAACAAGGGCCAAGAGGGCAGCGTCAAGCTTCCCGAATACAAGTGCAAAGGTGGTACAGCCTACTGTAGACCCGACATTATAAACGGCATGGTGAACTTCAAGATCATTGACCGTCGAGGCTGTCACCAAAAGGAGGAGGATGTTGTTTGGAGCAATGGCAAAGGCTTGACTCCTAGCTTGAAGAGTTCGATCTGCGGAACCTATGATAGGTACGAGATCCAGCACATCCACGAGCACAACAGAAAGGTTGCCAAGGCTCGAATGCAATACCGTCTCTGGGCAAAGGGTGGAAGCCTCGTTTCCGACTCACTGCCACCGCCGGAGCCCGAGTTTCTCAGCATCCGCTTGCGCCAACGACTATTCTGCGGCAAACGTTTCAAGGAGGCCAAGATGATCCGCCGCTTCGCAAAAGACGACATCGCCAACATGAAGGAAACCCTCCATTTGTGATGACCTCGACCATGATGGTCATGGCGAAGACATGGGAAGAGAAGTCGGGAAGGGGAAACCCTGGCGACTTGCAATTGCAAGCTTAGAAGAGGATACTGGAGATGGTGGGAAGGGGAAACCCTGGTCAACTATTGGCCCTTTTGATTTACCATGATTTCTTTTGTTTTACTTTATTTTCTTTTCCCACTCCTGTTGCCGCGCATGGGGCAACCCAGGTATACGATTCTTCAGGCTTCCGTACTGGGCGTTTTTGGCGTCATTTTCTCATCTCTCTAGATCTCCGCTCTCATCAGCAATGGTTCATGGGTGCAGGTGAAAATCTCAATATAAAATCATCAATGTCAGCTTCAGTATGTGCAGTGTGAAATGTGATAATATTGAACCCCAAAGGCAATGGACTGATACTCAATCGACCACGAGAGCATGAGCTTCAAGTAAAAGCTTTCCGGACGGGGATCATGGTCTGATCACAGTCAGGCTGTGGACAGATCGTAGTGGCCATAGCGAAGAGAGCCTCCTCAGAGTGTATGTCACGTACTGTTTAGTGTTCACTTCTTTGAATAATTTGGATTATTCAGCTGTAGAAAAGGGCCAGACAGATGTACAGGATATGTAGCGCCTGTTTCTTGATGGCATAATTGTCTCCAGCTTCGAACCCAAAAATCTTTACGTCGTCATGGAGGAGGAGGTGCGCAAGTAATTGTTTTATAGTTTAGAAAGCAAAAGAAGTGAGCGCGATATGAATATTTGCCGCAGTCGCATATGAGAAGTGGCCGAGTGATGGATGCAAGGTCCTCCCTCCCGCCCTTCAGTCGGCGTGACTACTTTCTTTGAACTTTCGAGAGAAGCGGAACAAGTCGAAGCGTAGGGGTTCTCTGGTGTCATTAAGATCTCAACGGATTATTGAGCTGGGAAGACTACGACTCATACCCTTCCCTAGCGGATTGCTGGAGCTCTGCAGGGGTATACGGTGGGTGGTCCTGATTGCCTATTTTGGGAACTTGCTCGGGTCTCGCTTGGGACGGGTATTCCGAAGTTTATCTGCTATTAAATCCCCTATATAGCACAAATCGTAGATGTTTCCAGTGCACTTCAATACATCAGATGGGTCTGGTTCGTGTTTGCACCTACTTTCAAGGATCTAGGTACAGAGACCGACAACCTCCAGGATTCCGCTGTGCTTGTGGAGTCCTGGCGATCATCGGAGAAGCAAACCCTGTAGCTGATCAAGCCCGAGATCAGGCACTTAAAATGGGTCAAGGAATCTTGGCAAAGTCGTCGATCCCAGTTGTGACAACGGATCTTTTAGATTCTCTGATCCTCGCGCCATGTAACCAGCTGCCCGCTTGCAGTTCACATACGCGGGTTCGATATGCCAATGGGGTCTTTGAGCACAATATTATCAAGCGAACATTCCCCACATTGACTATAAAACGGTTTGAGTTGTCTCGTTTATGCTATACACTTGTGACCACCACTGAACATTCGTAAATTAGGCAAAAACTCCCTCCACCTGGCGGCCCTTGACCCTCTGCGCCGCCACTTACATACATCTGTGTATCACCAACCAACCCTGCAATCAAGCCTCCGACTGCCGCTCGCGCGTGACGAGTGCTTTGTATGTCGCTATCCGTATTCATCGTATGTCTTTTGCCTCTAATCTCGCCCCGTGGATCAGCCTCGGCCTTGGCAAAGACCTGCAAGACGTGACCACCGTCGCGGTTGACTTCTCCCAGCGCCTCTACTACGGCTCTGCCGTCAATGGCATCTTCCATGAATGTCGAGATGGCTCGGAGTCTGCCGGGTTCGGGAGCCGACGCCAAGACCAGAATATGGCAATCCTCCAGCTCCGCGCCTGATGTGCACGATGCCGCTGCACTCCATGCCGCTCCCGATTTGATGGCACTTTCGGCCTCTTCCTCGGCCACCTCTCCCAGCGCCACGGCAACACCTACTGCGCTCGCATATCTCGACATGCCGAGGGACTGGTGAACATCAGACGTGGGCGGCGTACCACCACTGTCGCGAATCGCCTGGATCTTGGCATCCGTGAGCAGCGGGCCCTTGACAATGACGAGGTGGACGGCGTTGCTAGACGACTCGAGCTCGTCCACCAGCTTCGACACGGTCCGTGACACCTCGCGCGCCTGCTCGACGGTGCCGACCTCGTGCGGCTCCAGCATGCCCGTGTTGCGGCCGTCGTGCTCCCTGACGAGAAACGTCACGTGTGGGCTCAGGACCCCCTCGGTCCCGCCCGAAAAGACCGTCACGGCGTCTCTGGGTAGTAGTGGCTCCCAGACCATGGCGCTTAGCGCCCGCGAGAAGTCGTTTACGCAGCCATTGCCTGGCCATGCGGTGAGCAGAGATGAAGGATAATTATACAGCGACAGAGGCAGATCCTACCTTCAGATTTGCCAATCAGCCCAATGACTTGAGATGGATCATAGCCAGCTTTGCGCAGCTCATCGACGGGTGTGACGTCTGATGGCGAACCCACGCCAAACTTGAGGATATTCACAGCAGGCATGGTTTCCTCGCCAAGGAAGAGTCAAGTATTGAGGCAAGAATAATTGGGGAGAAAAAAGGCTTCTTATCCTGTCAAAAGCGAATTAAAGCTGACGACGACTTTGGTGGGATTGGTCTAGAACGAAATGATCGTGATAGGGGCAATCCCACTTGGACTGAGTGGAAAATGGATCGATTGCGGGTTTCCCTTGGTTGTGGCGAATCTGGATCGTGAGATATCTTGCCCCGCTTATGTCGTCGCCGCCCTGAGAGTTCAGGGGCTGATCATGTCATATAGGGCTGTGATATAGTAGTCCCCAAATGGCAGTCCTATTCAGCCTATGCAAGTCTGTGTGGCCAAGGCTTATAAAGGGCTTTCGCTAGACACATTAATTGATATTGATTATAAAATCATGACATCTGAGATCAAGAACTGATTTTCAATTGTTCTTCATGGCCCTTTTTAATACGAAGAAGGAAATAACCTTGTTTAAAGCTTGAGAATGCTTTTTTTTTTTAAGAATTCGCTGATAATCTTTAATGCATGCTTCGATTTCATCACTCAGGGATGTTGCGAATTCACGAGTCTGATTGGTTCGTTTTGCGCCGGGAATCAAACATGCTCGCATGGGGAGTGGGATCCACGATCTGCAAGTCTGAATCCTGAATCCTGATAAGTAGTTTGTGGGCTTTTGCAATAAAAGGCGCGCTTTTGCAGCATAATGGCAACATGAAGATAATTCTTTGATCCAGTTTTCGACAACTTTGAAATGGGCACTAATCCTCTCAACGAACGACTGCAATGGTTTCGATCGGCAGAGCAATCGCCCACCTACAAGCCGCTCCACTCCGAGAGCCAGACGGTCAACTTTGACCACCCTCACTCATGCGCTCATTGCCAACACATTTCCTTCAATGTCGAGGATTTTGTAGAGAACCCCTTGGTCGATTTGGGCCAAGGTGCGGCTCATCGTGAAACCACATTTTCGCAGGAGATTGGTCGGGGCTTGGAGCAGGCCATTGCAGCAGCAATAGCAGGGTGCGCACTTTTCAAATGGGTTCTGGACACTTTGGGGGACGAGGAGAACCACGACGTACCGACTGCCGACTCACTTGATCAGGTCGTCTTTAGTCTCGAGTTTGAGACAGGTGAGCAGATCAGCTGTGCTCCCGTCATTGGCGGTCTGTACAAGGATGGTAGAAGCTACGAGCCGTGGATCAGCACGTATTATGGCAATCGACGGGCGAGGTTAGATCTATGTGTTCGCAGGGGTAAGAATATACGGACAGCATTGAGTTTCGACATGTATGCTGAAATAAAGCAGATGATCCAGCCGCCAATTTCATCGCACAACACCCGCCAGAGTCTGACCTGTTCTCGGAAAGAAGCATACAGTTTGGCAAAGACTGTCTAGCAACTTGTCTCAATTACCACGAGCATTGTCGAACCGAGTGGTTGAGAGCCGACCTCGACAGACTGACCCATGACCGTGTACTAGAAAGCATCAATCTCTCAGACGAGACAATTTCGTTGAAAGATCTTCCCACGCGTCTCTTGCGGATTGAGGCCGCGGTTGATGGTGCACTCCTAGTGAGGCTGGTCGAAGTTTCGAAATTAACAACCGAGGGACAGAGACAAATTGCCGCTGCCGGTTTTGCCGCTCTCTCGTACTGCTGGGGTGAAGAGGGTAACCCCATACAACTAAGATCAGAGACGTGTGAAGGACTCAAGCAAGGCATCGCGGTTTCGACGCTACCAGCAACCATTTCCGACGCGATTCATTTTTCAGAGAAGCTGTCGCTCGATTATATCTGGGTCGATGCGCTGTGTATTTTTCAAGATAATGCCGAAGATAAGCATATTGAGATTAGGCGAATGGGGGCTTACTATGGCGCAAACACGCTGACTCTCTGCGCCGCTTCTGCCGATGGCTCATCAAGGGGGCTTCGAAACCGCGACTCGAGGTCTCTGTACCGAATGCCACCCACAGCTCTCGCATTCCAAGTTGGCAAGGATGTGGGACAAATCATTCTGCACTCCAAGCTGGATGAACATAGAGAGCGTACAACAGAGCGCGGGTGGACGCTGCAGGAATCTTTACTTTCGCGTCGCATCGTGATCTTTTCTGACCAGCTGTACTGGTGCTGTGCGACCGCCAATGCAGAATGCGAAGGACTGCTGACCAAACTGGCCAAGGAACCAAACCGAAATTTTGGTCTGCCCGAGTCTCTCGTGCCGGGCATATTCCCAGCCCAAGTCCTGCGAGACTACCCGCCCGAGGTGCAGTGGCAATCGGTCGTGTTGGATTTCTCAAAACGCCGTCTCGGAGTCGCAAGTGACAAGCTGCTCGCCATCTCGTCATTCGCCTCTTGGGTACACGCCAGATACCGGGCCAGCCCCGTACATTTAGGAGGCGATTCCGCCTATGTGGCCGGGTTGTTCCTATCTACCCAAAATGCAGGAGCTCTGATAAGACAGCTCGCTTGGCGGCCCTCGAAGACATCAGACTGTTCCCGACCGCTGGACTACCGGGCGCCGTCATGGTCTTGGGCGGCAGTGGACGGGGCACTCGCACTGCGCCACGAGCCAGATATGATAACATGCGGCTTCGAGGGTTTCACCCTGCAATTGATGCATGCAGCGGCCCCATATGGTAGCGTTGAGCGTGCCACGCTGAGTCTATCTGGCTGTCGACTCCAGCCTCTGCAAAGCTGCGTAAAATTCGAGCCTCATATACGGGAGGAAATGAACGAGCACAATCAAGAGGGGATGTGGTTGGTGCCTGATACACCACAAGACAGGCATCTTATTCTCTCTGCCCTCAATTTGTCAACACCATCCTCTTTGTACTTGTGCCAGCTCGCAGTGGCCGATTTGGACGGTTGGCATTGGAGTGGTGCGCAATTATCCTACGGGTGCGTTGGACTCATCATTACCCGTGTTCCTGGCGAAGCACCCAACAGCTTTCGACGTGTGGGTTTATTCGACCTTTTTCGCACTAGCAGCCGCGAAAAGGCAGAAGAAGATGCAGAGTTGGATGGATTCTTTGATGTGGAGGGTCAGAATATCACTTTATTGTAGGTAGATGGAAAAACTCCATTGCATGTCTGTGCCTCGTAAATGTGCATTGCTGTATATATATGACTGCTCGAGAGGCCAGACCAATGAACTCAGTCTCATGCCGAAGATTTACTCAAGCTTTCGAGGTACGCTGCGCCTTCATTTGCTTCTGAATCTCTCGCGCCTTCTTGACACCGAATCCATGTTGGAAGATGACCCGAATATCCTCGAGAGTCATTCCAGCAACCTCGGGGTAGCCAAAGTAGATGCAAACACTGAAGTCAACCGTTAGCGATGCTTGACTTGACAAGATGGCCCATGAAGACTTACTATCCAAGAAGGCATATAGCTGCATAAAAGCCAAAGGCACCAGAAGGCGTGGTATTCTCCATCTGAGTCAAAAAGGTAGATGCCACAATGATATTTGCGCCCCAACAAGTCATGGTCAACATCATGGTTCCCATGGATCGGACTTCCAGGGGGTAAAACTCGCTGCTGAGCCAAGCCGTGTTTCCGATACCCGACGAGTAGAAGGCGACAAAGAAGATCATGGAAGCCAACACCAGATTTGCCTGCCATCCGATTGAAGCCCCCTCGACAATGGTGAGGTCCTTGTTCATTGGAATGTAGTGAAAGGCGACGGCTGCTACAACGAGGAAAATTCCCATGAATTGCACGGTGCAGAGCAGAATTCGGCGGCGGCCAATGCGGTCGACGGCAATGAGGTTGACAAAGGTAAAGAAGAAGTTGACACCCGCGATAATGGTTCCGACGGCAACGGGATTACTGAAACCAATCTAGTTGAGTCGAGTCAGCACATGATCTAATTTCTATCCAGTCAAGGCGGTATTCGTGGGCTTACCTGAGCAAAAATTGTAGGAGAATAGTACATGAGAGAGTTGAAACCGCAGAGTTGAGAAATGGCCATGAGAGTGCAAGCAGATAGCAGAGCCCTGAAGTTTGCCGGAACCACATACAGCTGCTTCAAGATCCACCACTGCGACTTTCCAGCATTCAACTGCTTGGACTGCTCGACGTGGTAGGAGATGAGCTTGACCTTGTTCTCAACCTCCTCTTCAGAACCATGAGGGAAGATCTTTCGAATGACAACTTTGGCCTCGTCCTGCTTGCCGTGCATGATGAGCTGTCTGGGCGACTCGGGGCAGAACATGAGCAGGACGCCGAGGACCAGAGCGGGGATGGCTCCTCCGCCGACCATGTATCGCCAGCCCCCGCGGACCGGGGCGAAACCGGCTCCGACGCCGTAGCTGATGAGCTGACCTCCGGTGATGGACATGTTGTCGAGGCCAATCATGCGGCCGCGGTACTTGGCGGGCGAGACTTCGGCAATGTAGAGGGGCACAATCATGGCCGCGGAGCCGACGCCAAAGCCGACGACCAAGCGGCCGACGACCATCTGGGCCAGCGAAAACGACGCGGCTTGCAAGATGGCCCCGACGGTGAAGAGTACGCATCCGACGTAAATGGCAATCTTTCGTCCATATCTATCGGCAGTTGTTCCGGCAAAAATGGCGCCAAGAAAGGCACCTCCAGAGGTGATGGATGTGATGAGCTCCTTGTCTTGCGACGTGAGGGACGTGTTGAGGTCATTTCCAATGTACAGTAGAGCAGCCGCAATGATGCCAGTATCGTAACCAAAGAGCAAACCGCCAATGGCAGCTGTAATGGACACAAGCCATGAATAAAAGCCCGTCTTTGTGAGTTCTATAGTGTCGAGGTTGTCGAGTGCGTCATTGCTAATGTTATTGATGCCAGCAACCTGGAACTCGAGATGCTCGGCGCTGTCCTTTGAGTCATGGCCAATGGCCGGTTTCTCGAGGCTTTGGCTTGACATGTTGTATGACTTGTGCTACGAGGCAGTAAAGTACTAACAAGGAAGCATTCAATTGAAATGAAATGGGAGGTATATGACACGACTCAGAGTCCAGTTTTCTGGATGATCTGCACTTTCAAAGTAACCAGAAAACTGGGAAGCCTGGGACTATCTATACTTTTTTCTTCTTCTCTCCTGTCCGGCATACAATTGGAGAGTTCCCATTCCATCGGGTCTGGGGAAGTTTGAGTCGTGTATATCTTGACCAGACACGCTATCCGTGGTTCGTGGCGTAAAAAGTTGGACTAGACAAGGGGTCCATGCCTTGTTTTGGCGATTCTGCATACAAGAACAGGATACTGCTATTATAGCAGTAAACTAGACGACAAGTTGGAGCCATCTTGTACCAGGTGTGTTCTGGATAGCCCAGGTGGTACCTCAACCGATGGCATAGGTCAGCAAGGACTTGCATTACCCACTGGGCTGAGTGAGCGGCGTGGTTTTCCCCATGGGGTATTTGCCAGGGGGAGGGTTTAGTGGGCATCTTGGGGATGTCGCGCTACCACCTGGGCAGCCCTCTAGGTGCCCATGCCCCCATGTTAGGTGTGGGGAAAGCAGAAAGAGACTAAGGTTAGGCGGCTTGAGTTGCCTGTCGTGAGTTAAAAGGGCAAGTCTGGCAACTCACCTTGTGCGACTCTCTTGAGCTTCGCTTGTTACACTTTATCCTCCCGCGCTCTGATCCCACCACATACTGCCAGCCTGGTAGGACACTGAGCTGAGTTGAGCACAGCACCAGTAAAAGAAAGGACAGAATAGGACAGGACGGTCCTTGCGACATACGAGTCCATTTCTCCAGCCCTACGCCCTTTACCCCGGATTTTGTTCCACGCTCTCTCCAGCACGAGACAGTTTCTGACGCCGAGCTCCCGTTCTGTTCCACGATCCTGGACCCCACAGCAACTGCTGACAAAGATCCTCGCTGAAAGTAGCAAGTTGAAAAACTTTCCTCTTACGGAAGGGAAGTAGATGCGGCAGCTCTACTCTTGGCTCAACCCCTGCAGATGATCGATGCTGGGTGATGTCTCCTCCTGATGGGGACAGCGAAAATACCGGCACCTTGGAGAACCTAGTTCATCATGAACATGTAAGTGGCCATCTCTTATCCTTGCTCTACTTGCGTCATGCAAAATTACCCTAGAGAACGTCCATTGACCCATTCTCTAGTCCACAGAGTTGAGGTACGGGTGTCTTGCGCAAAGCGCACTCACTCACTGCGCTTATCACACGAATCGCGACGTTTAGTTGCTAACCCTATCTGCGGTCTCCAGGCTCTCGGCATCTGACAAGGAGCCATCTCCGGCAGCCGTATCTCAATCACAGACTTCAGCTCCCATACCAGGCCCACAACGCAAGTATCGTGTTCGCTTCCGGCATACGCTAAACCCCAGGTTTGTCTCGTGCCCCATCACAAGCATACAGCACTTGCATTGACCAGCTCCGGTGTATAGCGTACCGCCACAACGTCCTTCGGATGCCAGGCAAGAGTATACTTTTGCGGCCGACCAACGATGGGTTCGAGCTCCGAGGTCGTTCAATTTCATCGACGAGACTCGTGAGATCATTAGCATCCATGAAGCTGAGAACTCGGATTCTGATCTGGAAGATACCCGGACCTCACTACAAATCAATGGCAGTAGTAATTCTTCATCATGGCGGCCCCGTGGCAACAGCGATAGCACAGTACTTCCAGCGCCGTCATGCACGCCACGCATGTCTGGCTTTGTCGCCGACTCCAGCAGGCTCTCAGCCACGGACAGTTCCCTGCCTGCTCGTGCTAAGAGGTCTTTAAATGCAGATGGCCCAAACAGGAAGCGCACAATGAGCTCGAGTGCCTCGATAGGACCAAGTCCGAGGCCTAGCACTCAAGTAGTGACGGACTTGCTGGCCCAACCGTCAATCAGCGGCCCAGTACTTCAGAGCCCAGATGTGTCATCGCTGTTATCTCCGCTCAATCTGGACAGTCTTGGTTTGCACCAGTTATTCGATGCAAGCGCATTAGCGTCTCCTTCTACTGGATCCGCCACGGTCGAGTCCCCCTTTGCGTACATTCCGTTCTCGGCCAATGAAGACGCTCAGTCACTATCTCATGCTCCTGTCGAGCAGCCCAGATGGCCCTTGAAAGACAGCCAGGAAGCTTTCTTATTCCAGAATTTCATACGCGAGGTCGCACCCATGTTTGACTTGTGCGATAATGCTCGCCAGTTCGCAAAGGTTGTTCCAAAGCGGGCCCCTTTCTGCCCTCCACTCCTCAATGCTATGCTGGCGGCTGCTGCCAAGCGCTTGAGCAGAATCAATGATGGCGATTCAAGTGTTGCCTATGGGTATTATCAGGAATGTCTGAGGACGCTCATTCCGCTACTCTCTAGCTCTGGAGCCGCCAAGGATGAAAATCTGCTTGCTGCGACTCTAATTCTTCGATATATGGAGGAGACGGATGTGGCCTTCTCCATTAATGGATCTCAGTCACATCTTGTTGGAAGCAGAGTCTTCCTTGCCGCGAGAGAGGATATATCTGAATTTAGTGAACTCAGATTAGCATTATTCTGGATCGCTTTACGCCAGGAAATATTCATGGCATTTATCCACTCTCGTCCAGTTTACGCTGGTTTCCTCAGCCGAAACGTTGCTCCTGTTTTAGAGGGTGCTTATGACGAATGCAGCTATGCCAATAAAGTCATTCTTCATTGCGCATATTGTATTCAATACTGCTTTGGCGAGCAGGAGCAGCGCCCTTCGGTCTGGAACGAGCTCAGCGACTACTTAGATCAATGGGAAAGGAACAAGCCATGGTCCTTTAATCCAATGTCGCTCGAACAGTTTGACGATACTAGCTTCTTTCCCGAAATGACCTATATATCGGACGAGGTGTTGACAGGCATGCAACACTACTACTTGGCACGTCTGGTATTGGAAGCACACAGCCCCAAGACACCAAGACTGGGCCCAGCTCGACGACTAGCACTCGAAGGCGTTAATGGCGAGCTCAGAAGGCTAGTGCGTATAGTCTGTGGCATTGCCGAGGTGAGTACTGCCAATCCGTGAAAGGTCTTCTGGAGCTTCCCAATGCTAAACAAGGCGCAGTCTAATCCGCAAGTCGCCCCAGGCTATGTGTAAGCAGTTTTCACCCAGCCTTGATCTGTGACGTACTGACTTAAGTCCAGAAATGCTGCTGTGGCTATTGTCATGGCAGGTGATCGGTTTACGGACCGACCAGATCAGGAGCTATTACACGCTCTATTGGTAAAAATCGAAAAGTATTTGGCATGGCCAACAGGGGCAGCGTAAGTTCTCCCTTGTTTCCACTGACCTGTGCTAATATCCAAGACAGCCAAATTGATCTGAAAAACGCTTGGGGGTGGGCCAGGACCCCAGACATGTCCATTGCTGGTGTTCTCAACAGTGGGATCATGACATGAACATGAACGCACTTGGCGGATGCGGAAAAGTGAGTTTTGTTCATACGGCATCTCTATGTGGAACGCCCGCCCGTTTCCATGGAAGAACATCGCCCTCCTTGTACTGGTCAGCGAGCGAACCCAAAATCGCCGTAGCTTCTTTGCATATCTACCAAACATGCGACTTGAAGTTTGGTATTGTGAGGTTCAATAGTGACAAACAATACTGTCGCTGTAGAAATCATTACTGCGTAAATCCTGATGACTCTCCTGGTGATGCCAACTCTTTGACGATAATCCTTCAGGCTAAGATTTACATCGCAATGCGGATATAATCGTCCAGTGCATTCTCAAATAGCGGCACACAGTATTGTCAGGCGGACTCGATAGGTCAATACAAGAAGAAAGTCTGCTGTGATACATGATTATAGTAACTCCTGACGTCACGGCCCCATAGTCGTGGGCATCTCGTATAAGGCCTTGTTGAGCTTGACAAAAAGTTGCTCTCTACTGACAGTCCTAAAGAATAGGAAGTCTGTCTCGTGACCTGAAGCCACAACTCGCATCTCGGTAGTCACCATATGAGACAATTACAAAGTAATGGAGTCCTCGAGTGGCTTGGGGCCACATGCAGAGAAGCAGGAACATGGGGTAATGATGGGTCTGGGGGAGCTGATGCCTGGCGGTTGGTTTAGTTTAGAAATAGACTTCTCGAGCCAACTCCTTCTGCGAATACAAGTCGAATGTGATTGGGCCAAATATAGCGTCCTGCGCAAGTACTTGCCCTAATGTGCAAATGGAGCAAGTCACTATAGGTCTTAGAGAATATCTCCCCTTGCCCAGTTGGGCAACTTTCCGTATTTGGCAATGAATATTAGTGGCAGTCCTACCACGCACAATCCAGAACCGTTCAAAGCTTATTTGTATCGTAAGGAGAAATGTTTCATATTAGATTGAAATACTAAATGACATTGTTTACTCAAGATTTGAGAAGGCCACAGTTGCCAGAAATAATTGCGAAAGAAAGAAAAAAGAATACAAAAGAAACGAGAATCACAAAGGTCAAGGGCAACTGGACAATACAAGCCCCATACCTGGCAGGCTTGTAATTTCTGTTCATTGAGCTCGCACCGATAATATGAAGCCATCTCGCTATTATCCGCGATTCGTTTCATGTCATGGTAACTTTCTGTCCCTTTTTCTGATCATATCATCTCGTGCAGGCAAGCAGCGAATTCTCCTAGTGTTTTGTAGGTGGCGCTGTCACTGGGCACATCCGGAAACGATAGGGTAACAACTTTATATTGGCTATCCACCGCGACGTGATGGATCAGTCCGAGTAAGAAGCACTGCAAAGTTGTCTCAGCGATGTAGGTTACCGTTTTTCTTTCTCCGATTTTGTTGCATCTAGCAGGCTTTCGATACGTGACGCAACAGCGATCAAAAGTACTACTCGCCCAAGCTGGTCATTCTTTATGCGAGCGAAACTCACCGTGGCACTCATCAGTAATGGCGAACAGGCCGGCATAGGACGTTCCAAGGCACTGCCCAACAAATTGATGACCATTTCGCAAATTTCGTCAAAACCACGCAGAAATCCAATACAAGATAGATGGCTTTCTGGTCTGAGAATCCGTGGCGCCGGATGAACAGGTTGGTAGTTCTTTCGATCCAGCCGGTCTTCAGAAACGTTGTGCCATTGCTATTTGCCTGTCGGCTCTCCAGATCCCAGAATCTAGCTGTTTGGCTACCGCTGATGTACTTGTCGACATCACCAGCAAACCCTTGTCACTGGAGTTCAGCCTGGACAAGGCGCAAGCTGGTCTGGCCATTGGAAAAGGGCTGACCCGAGTCTTCTCGCGAATGACTTGATCATGTTGGTGAACTTTTGCTAGCGACAGCGATTGTCAAGATAGGGGCGACGGCTCAATTTGCGGCTGTTGCTGGTCATGGTGGCGGTGATGACGGCGTGCGTTTGCGCCTTTCTCCGGAAGTTCGCCGAGGAACTCGCGCGCCTTCAAATGGCCCCAGGATAATTGTGCAGCACAAGGGTGGAGTAGAGATTTCCCAGCACACCTGCGAGTGCGCGACCATGGCTATTGTGGGCGACGATTTCGTGTAGAACTCGATCCGCAAGACAAGAACACTCTTAGGATCAGGTCAGGACGCCGTGTGGTTTGGGTTGGTGATGGTCTTGGGAAAGATTCAGTTGCCGGAACATGTTGTTCATGTTTGCAACGACAGTAATCTGTGTCGACATCATTGTCTCCTTTGAAGCGCTTCTTCTTGTATTGGTTACGCAGGATGTACTAACCTAGGCGGATGTCTCGCCGACTCAATGAATAGTTACTTGGCGAATGATATTATGTACTGCAGACGGCAGTCCAATGACGCTCTGCACGACCTTGGCAGTGCTGACCTCGGTGGAATGACACTGAAATGCTGAATGCATTGACAATTTTATCACACAAGTTGAATCCGCGGCAATTGGTTTGATAATGTACTGTGTAGCAAAACGACGAGAGTTTCCCTAGACTTTTGCCAAACCAACGGGGATTATTTGCCTAACCCATAAGGGATAAAACTCGGCGATGTTCGCTGCATTAGAGGCAAGATTGGTCACCATCTCAGCAAGCACTTGGCGCGCTGAAAAACTGCCCCCATTTCAGCGCTTGAATCACCCCAACACCCTGTGCCGGGCGGGGGCTCCACAGCGTTATAGTCGGTAAATCAATCCTGTCAGTTCTCTACTGACTGACCTTTGGGCGCACTTCCATTACCCCGCAGAACTAATAGAATCGGTATTCAAATGATTACATTGTTCCCTGCTTTCCCCAGATCATTCTTTAGTCTAGTGTCGGTCGAAAATGGTCTTGTCTGGTCAAGGGAATGGGCGATTTTGCCCTCTTTAAAAAGCAAAAAGAAGCAAAGGATGCGCATGACCACCGTCTTTTACCCAGTGGTTAGCGAGTTATCCCCGAGTCGCCCAGACAGACTCGTGCTTGCATGGCGCCAAGCCCTGTATCTCCATGAACAATCTGAGACCGGCAACTATTGGCATATCTAGGCATGAGAAGAGGGGTTGGAAGAAAGAAGGAGACGTATGATGCCATAGGACTTTTTTGTCTTGTCCCACGGATCGCAAAAGTGGCAGAGTGAAGAAGTCAAAGGGTGGGGGTTCATGTTTAGTATTGCGCACGAACCCGCTTCTCAACTCAACCCTGGCTGGCTACTAGCGACACTGTATGGGCCCTGCGTAATACCACTCTTGTGCTATATTCACATGATTGATTTGTAGATTGTCGAGTATATATTTACAACATCATCTGCTATTTGCTTTGAGCTGCGCCATTTCTTCGAGCTGATTGCACTCTATTTCCTCATTTTATATCCTACCACACCGACATCTAGCCGAGATTACTATTCATCATGGCATCAACTATGAAGGCCGTCAACTATGCCGGACCAAGCTCTGTCAAGGTCTCGGAGGTTGAGAAGCCCAAGCTAGAACACCCAGATGATATCATTGTCAAAGTAACGACGGTGAGTCTGCATTGTTATACACAACTACAAATCATGATGCTAATTAGGACATCTAGGCTGCGATTTGCGGTTCAGATTTGCAGTATGTTGTGCACTGACTAGGATCGTGTCCCTGATGCAATCAAGCTAACTTTTTCTGCAGCATGTACGAAGGAAGGACCGCCGCGGAGCCTGGCATCACATTTGGTATGTTACCATCAGCCCCAAATATGTCTTTCTGTTGTCCTTATTGACGTGGTGTCAAGGCCATGAGAACATGGGAACTGTGGAAGAGCTGGGCGAGGGCGTGACGCTGCTAAAGAAGGGCGACCGTGTCGTGATGCCGTTCAACGTTGCCGACGGACGATGCCGCAACTGCGAGGAGGGCAAGACGGCTTTCTGCACTGGTGTGAACCCTGGATTCGCCGGAGGTGCTTATGGTGAGTTTTGATCAAATATTGGTTTAACACTCTTGTTTCATGCGTACAACTAGAACTAATACCTCGTTGCCAGGTTACGTCGCCATGGGACCATTCCGTGGTGGTAAGTCTATGATGTGATGCCCGCACATGTTTGCCCATTAATATTCACATGAATCATCTAGGCCAAGCACAATATCTTAGAGTTCCGTATGCCGACTTCAATGCGCTGAAATTGCCGGCTGGCAAAGAATTCGAGGCAGACTTTATCCTTCTTGCAGGTACGTCATGACGTTTTTGGACAACGCGGGGCAGTACAGAAGCTAACCTGAGCTCTAGATATCTTTCCAACGGGTGAGCATACATTCTAATAGACAAGTAAACTGTGTATAACATGCCCACTGATGATTTCTCTCAAAGGTTGGCATGGAGTGGAAATATCAGGTTTCAAGTCTGGAGAATCCGTGGCAGTCTTTGGCGCCGGACCCGTAGGTCTAATGGCCGCCTATTCCGCCGTGCTGCGCGGGGCTAGCCGAGTATACGTCGTAGACCGCGTGCCCGAGCGCCTCGAGGCCGCCAAGAAGATTGACTGCATCCCCATTGATTTCACCAAGAGCGACGCGGTAGAACAGATCATTGCGGCCAACGGCGGCGAGGTCGACCGCTCGATAGACGCCGTGGGCTACCAGGCCGTCAGCTCCAGCGGTTCTACCGAGCAGCCCAACATTGTCCTCGAAAACATGATTCGTGTAACGCGCGCTTGTGGAGGTTTGGGTATCCCAGGTCTCTATGTTCCCAGGTACGATACCTTGGATCAACATGTCACATCTTTTCATGAACGATGGATTGTTAACCTTGATACGCAGTGACCCCGGTGCTCCGGATGCTGCCTCCAAAAATGGCATGATCAGCTTGAGCTTTGGAAAACTGTTTGAGAAAGTAAGTCAGAGCGCGCAATGTAATCACTCTTTACAATCCATGTGCTCATTGTCGTCTAGGGCCTCACTATCGGCACTGGCCAGTGCAATGTCAAGGCCTACAACCGGTATCTGCGCGACCTGATCATTGCCGGCAAGGCCAAGCCCAGCTTTGTGGTCTCGCATGAGATTGATATCAAGGACGCCGAAATGGCCTATGACAAGTTTGCCAGGCGGATTGATGGTTATACCAAGGTTCTCATTCATCCCAATGGAGGATTCTAGTAAAAGCCATGTAGTTTGCAGTCATGTAAGAGGAGATGGAGAAAGGCCCAATTATGATGAATAGCGTTATCCCTGAATTTCAAATACAACCATTATACACATTATACTTTCAGAGGATACACTTGAGGCATGGTCTTGCTTCTTTTTGCATGCGGGCTCCTGAATTCTGCGATTGAGTTAACAATCTTCGTATATTAGCTTGTAATTCAGAACATGTTGCCAGAATGCTGAACACACTGAGGTGGATCAAGTCAACACCGGCGATAGAAGCAACAGCGCATTTGTCAAGTAAGAAGAACATCATCTTGACGATTTTCAGCTGCACGACACACGTTTCGCAAACATTACAATCCCGCCGTCGCAGGTCATGGCATTACTCGGGCTTCGGTATAGTGGGTCTGGGGTATCGGGGGGCGGCGATCGAACCCGCCAAGCACATGCGGGACGGCCTACCACTTTGGCCGTATCGGGAAATTCTTCGGCGGACGACTTGATTAGTCCAAAATGACTGAATAGTCCACATGTCACGCAATAAGGCGGAGCAGTTGTAGAAAGAGGATCAATGACATGAATAGTTAAGTTTGGGTACTTGGATAGAGATATATTTCGACATTCTCGGTCCTTGGGTCAATGTTTGTTCGCACTTGAAACCATTGACTGGATTCTGCTGCATTTACAATTATATTCCTACCATCTTGTGACGCTGAATCGCACTTTTTACTCGAGAGCATCAGACACGAATTTGGACTACGAGAAAAATATCAAAATGAAGTTTCAACCCATCCGCACGCTATGGGGTGTTGAACCCGGAGAGAACATGGAAAACTGGGATAAGCTCTTTCCTGAGCTCAAGCAAATAGGTTTTGGTACGTGTCAGTCACCATATAACCGAGCTAGGCTAATCGTGTGTTAGAGGGTATCGAAATTGATGTTGCAAACCTGAAGAGTACTTCCGAATATCAGGCTCTTCGGACACTCGCCGACAAGCATGGGCTAGTCATCACGGCACTGTGAGTTGTGACCTCAACATGGTTGGCCACCTCAGTGGGCTAAGATCGGAAACAGTATGTTTAGTGAATGGCCACAAACTGCCGGGCCACGTCCAAAGGGTCTCACGGTGGCAGACCACCTCAAGTTTTACCGCAAGACACTCCAAGATGTGGCAATTCTCAAGCCCATCAAGGTAAACGTACACTCCGGCTCGTGAGTAATCCCAGAGCCTTTTTCTCTCAAGGCAATGCCGATCCAGTGTGGGGGGATGCAATGGGAAAAGATTGAGACAAAACTGACTTTTGAAAAGTGACGTTTGGACCTATGACCAGTCCGTGGAGTTCTACAAGGCAACCTTTGCTATTGATGAGGAGCTCGGTTTCGCCGGAAAAGTGTGCCACGAGACGCACAGGAACAGATCCCTCTACAGCCCACAAGCAACCGATTACATCCTCAGCCGAGTACCAAAGTATGTCTACCTCGTTGACAGCTCTCCCCTCATGTTTCTATGGAAAGTATTTGCAACGTCGAGGGTGCCCAACGCTGACCATTTCCGCTACAGTTTGCGCATCACGGCGGATATCTCGCACTGGGTCGTGCTGTCTGAACGTCTACTAGATGCCAATGAGGAAGACCGTGACCTTTTAGAGAGAGTATACCCCAATGTACGTGACATCTCCTTGATTTCACATTGCCGAGTCTGGAGCCTCTTGGGGTTGCAATCCTGGTGATTCTGTCATTTGATGGAACAAATGACTCTGATTGCCCTTCCACATGCTGATATAATCCCAGGTCGATCATATTCACGCCCGCATTGGCACTACTCAGGCCTCGCAGTGTCCTGACCCGACGAACCCCGTCTTCAAGGAAGAGAGGGAATTCTTTGAGCGCGCGTGGCTGCGCATCCTAGAGCTGCGGCTACAGAAGAACGACCTCAGTACCGTGACATTTGTGCCTGAATACGGGTAAGTGACCTTTCAATCTGTTTAAAGGGCTATAGAGGCATTGGCTCGGTGTCTGTCCAGCTCAAAGATCCCATTTCTTTATCCTTGGCTCCATGCTGACATGACCACTTTTTCAAATAGCCCGTTCCCATACCATCCAATCAACTCTACGCACACGTTTGATGCTGTGGCCAACAGTGAAGCCACTCGTCTCTTTGGGGTATTCAATGCATTCGTGGCTAGCAAGCAGAAATCATAGAGATAATTTACTGTCTTCAACAAAGATTTATTGAACTTATTTGATTCAATGGCTTTTGATATCATATACATTCATGTATCCTGCGCGTGTAGCTACGGTTTTCATATCCAAAGCTCATCAGGGTGACAGATATAAGCCTCCGCTGAGGTTTCCAAATGAAAACCGATATGATTGTACTTCTGGGCTTTATATCGTCATTTGTTTCCGTCAGTGGTCACTAGGACCCGTATATACTCACCGAGAAATCAAGAAACATAACTTGCAGGTGAAAAAGTGATCCCTGATGCTCGAATATGAGTTGGCCACTTAAAAACTGATGATTGTTTACAGTAGAGCTCAATCTGTATCAAATGTTGGAACCCAAGTGAAAAATTGTTCCTTGTGATCGATGATGTTGCCCACGTCATTGCAATACACAAGCCCTTATATACAGCCTAGTTGCCGGAAACAATCTACTATTATGCTGCCATCCAAGTATGATTGATTGTACAGCAGAGAGACCGTTCCCGATACCAATCCTGCTCCAATTGCGAGCCCGTATTGTACGAAGCCTGATCCATGCCGTTGTCGATGAACACTCATTGGCCAAGCCTCTCTGACACATTCAGCACATATATTGACATGGATGCTGAAAGAGATGGTTACTATAGAGACTCCACATTGGATATACAGAATCATCTAGCACATCCACGAGCTTATCATTGAATTTAGGCTCGGTTTCACATGGCAGTTGGATCTGAAAGTGGCTAGTAATCCGCGCAACGTGGTTTGGGGGATATCGCCACCCACTTCGTCGTCTCGCGAGAGCCGGTCCTTGGTCCACAGACAAACCGTGATCGGGCCGGGTCAAGACAATTTCTTTGGAGTTTCTGGGGCATGCATTGCTCTGATACACGTGTGGCATCTTGACATTGCAAAATATCATCCGGGGTGTTCCAAGGTTTTCTTGGCGACATTTCCGCCACCTGAGCCATGGTCTATTCCGTGCCTGGCCGGCGACGATCCTGATCAAGACCCAATATAAATGCGAAAGAGCAGAGAACAGGGATCGGCGTTTGACCCGTTAGCTCCCCTACCCGGGGGCAGTTAATCGGTGTTATAAACTTGGAAAAAAAATTGCTCCGCTTTCCCAAGCACGTTGATCACGATTCAAGCTCGCGACCTCTGACTTGTGTTTGGATTGCTCTGATCAGATCCAATACAGCGCATCGCACAGGAATGATTCAGTTCCGAGTCTCGACCCTTTTCGATGTCTTGGATGGATACGGGGGTCCATATAAGTTATGGCCCGGATTCTTAGCGCCTTATACTTGATCTCGATCTTAATTCACCAACCATACGTGTTTTTTTTTTTTTTTTTGAGACAAATATTAGTTGTCAAGAGATTTTGTTTGATGCCACAGGCTGCATATACATTTTTCTCACGTTGTCCTGATTTGTACTCGGTATAGCAATAGTCAAACCTCATCGACGCACCTGCAGCAGGTAGATTAAGCTGAGCAGATAACTGTCAGTGTGGAACTCGCAGCTGCTAACCTAAATGGGAAGTTCTCATCTATTTTGCATCTTTAGTCCGCCTTTTTCCCGCACCTATACCTCCTCAGGGATTAGAAATGTTAGCGTTATACAAGCCCCATAATACGAGGAGTTCTTACGTATGTGCTCCGCATGTCACATAATGTAATTTCCTATATAATTTGTTAAGAACAGTATATTTTATATATATTTTACAACTGGACTTCAGCACCACCAGTTTCGATGATTTGACGTAGTCGACGCGGCATCGATCGTGAGAGTGTATTTAAGAGTTTTTCGGGAACAGCCTCCTACGCAGCCTAGATCGCAGCACGCAAATATACGCTATTTAGGGTCTGGATATCGTAATGTAAGTTAATCTAGCCTTTTATCTAACCCTATACGTTTTCGATTGGGTTGAGATCCGGACTACTAGGTGGCCACGGTACAACGGGGATATCCATTTTTTCCATCGCAGCTTAAGTTAATTTTGCCCTATGGGAGGGTGCATTATCGTATTAAAAGTAGAAATCACGTAGAAACGGGCGCTAGTACCGTTAAACTCTAGGGAGAATGTACCGGATGTACTTCTCGGCGCCGATGCCACCCATTTCTTTTTCCCAGAAGAAGCAAGGGCCTTTGCGGCGTCCCGTAAACGATGCCCAGAACATCCAGCCGTAGCCCTTTTCACGAAAAACAGCCCAGACATCGTCGTCTTCCACGTCGTAAATCGTAATCTATTGCTTTCCCGTAAGTTAGTTCGTTGCCTAGGTTTCGTCGGACCACAGGATATTCGGGGACGGATTAACCCAATTTTCTTCGTCCGGCCACTGCTTAAGCGCCTATTTAGCGAATTTAACTTTTTTCTTTTTCGTTGCGATAGTTAATCGAAGTTTGCGTTTGCGTATACAACGTTAGAATCCGAGCTTCCTTATTGCAAATGCGACGGCGTTTTCGCCGTAATTTTAGAAACTAAGGATTAAGAACCTGAGATTACGCTATGGAACTTTGCGGAGGAAGCGATCGTTATTAAGGTACTATTTAAGTCGATCGCGTTCGGCAGCTGTAATAATTGTACGGCGTGGTGCCTTTAATGCTTTACGTGGTGTGAGGGGATTCTCCACTGCGTATTAAATTTGACGATACGTGTATTTATCGTCGAATTTGTCCTTTAAAACGTCGTATTCCCATCCAGTTTTTTTACGAAGAGTTTTGATTTTTAAACGATCGTCCCGGGTCAGCTCGGCTGCTCTAGCATTACGCTATTATACCGGCTTTTCCTCCCGTTGTATCTGGATCCGGTAAAAACGTTCGGCAGAAGGGGAATCGTGGATCGGCTGGTGGTTGACAAGCTGTTTTATGTCTATTGTCCAGTCGGGAGAGTGGTATCTGGTGTAATGTGGCATTTCGTATTAATCGACGATAACTGTTGGTTACTGGAGGAAACGAGAGTTAACGGGAACAGCCTGTTGTACGGTCAAAAAAAGGGAATTTATATATGATGCAATGGCAAATTGCCGTATGACTTCATTTTCAACTTTTGGAATCGATGTATTATTACAGCCAATTTATATGGGAAAATATATGCGGAGCAGTTTACGTTAAAAACAGCCTGTTATGTGGGCTTGTATCGCACTAACATTTCTAATCCCTGAGGAGGTATATAGTTGCAACATATCTTGGTCGTCTCCACGTTTCTATAGAATGTCACTAGCGAGGCTTTCGAGTGCATACCACTGTGAACAATCTATACCTGTTCTATGATGATTGCCTATTCAATGTCAATAACGGACGCCGGCGAGGATATTCGACCCTTGTCTAGTCTTGTCATAACCTCGCCGTTGCCGTGGTTCCTTGGCATATAGACAGAGAATCATGATGTAAAAATGTTAAGCGTGCCTGTAAATAACTCGATACTCTGAGAAGTAGTTGTGACGATTGATTGAGATGCAAGAACGATAGATTTAGAGTATTGTCTTTTCATTGAATTAGTTGATGCATATTCAAGCCTGCCTCATTCGTAGGTGACTATCATCAGAGCAAGAAATGCTGCAAGATCATGTCTAAATGCGCGGCTTCCTGGTGACTCTCTGACATGAAACCTCCGAGGTGATAGTAATACATTGTTTATATTTTCGATGCCGGATTCGAACGCAGGCACTTTTTGCTTCCAGGTTATGGCATTTTTGCGAATCTTTTTGAACCGCAGTCTGGCTCGATCTACCCATGGGTATATGACGCGGGTCTATACGGCCGATCTGTTGCCCTCATCGACATGAGAGGCATAATATACATTTGTTGTATAATACATCATACATCTTTGGTGGTTAGTTGGTTGATTGGTGCCAACTTGTGTCCCAGTCGAGTTCTGTTTCAGAAGCCCATGTTCCTCAAGAACTCGATAACATCTTCTTTCCTGTGACCCTGTGTACTAGTCAGCGTCAAGAACCCTGGCCTCGACTGTTTCGCTGGCACTCACCTTGATCTCAATATGATTGGTGATGCTGTTCAGTTTGACATCCTTTTCAGTGACACCCAGGGCTTCGGCCACATCGAGCCGAAGCGCCTGCAGATTTCCCTCTCCCTTCTTGAGCAAAGTCTTCTTCAAGTTGCCACCACGGTATCTCCTCTCGTACACGGCCATGTTGTTCATGCGGTTGCGACCAACAAAGTAAGGCAGATCCTGGGGGGGCCGTGATGAAAGCGCATCCGTGCTAAGTTGTGAGAAGGCGCTTGGCTCGGACGACTGATTTGCGCTCGGTTGCGATGCCAGAGCAGGGGATTCTGTGGTAGTAGATGGAGTAGACTCGATTGTCAAGCTTCGGATCGAGATGGGGGTGCTGAAGCGGATTGCCAGTGTTGGCCGTGGTGCAGCCGCCACCCGGAGAGATCTTGCTGTCCTTGCAAACATTTTCGAACAGATTATGTGTTTCTGTTGGGAGTTTCCAATTCGTTCAATCCGTTGTCGTCGCTAATACTCCTCTGCGCTGAATGAGATCCTCTCCCCCAAATGCAATGCCTGAGGGCTGCTAGATTGAAACTTTTGGCGGCTGCAAGTGCTTTCCAAGAGCTGCGACGGACCACCAATAATTCCGGGGCCGCGTTCCATGGAGTCTAAAAAAGAGACAGACGCGCCAGTGGAGGCAAGGCGGCATTCATTCATTGGACCATACACCAGCAGTCACTAAAATTTCCACACGCGCTGGGCGGCAAATCTCCGGCTCACTTCTCCACAACCCGCGCTCGTTCCCTCACTTTCGTGGGTTTGTGTGCAAATTCGGTGAACTGCCCCGCCATTCATTGATTTGACTTCGAGTTCGCTGGGAGTAAAGTCATACACCACCTCCGAACCCAGGACCCCCAGATCCAGACTCCCATCGCAGCGCCACATAGGACCTTTGCGACAAGATGGCCGAATACGATCTGCTCCCCAAGCTGGTGGCTCACCTCGACCGCCACCTCATCTTTCCCCTTTTGGAGTTCGCCAACAACCAGGTCGCCGAGGACGATGACGCCAAGGCTCTCGAGTTCACCAAGGCCAAGTATGAGCTGCTCAAGACGACCAACATGACCGACTTCATCGGTAGCCTGAAGGCTGAGCTGGACGGTCTGGACGAGGTGCCCGCAGAGTTCAACGACAAGCGCCAAAAGGTTCTGTCGCGCCTGGAGCAGTTCGAGGACGAGACGAGCAAGATTACAGATCTGTTGGGCAACGAGGAGGTCGTCAACAACCTGCGTAGCGACAAGGTTGCCAACTTGGATTTCTTGAAGAAGGAGCACGGCGTATGTCATTGACTGAATGATGCAAGAATAAATTGGACATGAATGCTGACATGCTATGCGACAGGTCACGGTGGACAACGTGAACGCTCTCTACGATTTTGGTAACTTCCAGTACAGCTGCGGCAACTACGCCGCTGCATCAGAGCTTCTATACCAGTTCCGTGTGCTCTCCACCGATAACGACAAGGTGGCTGCCGCGACATGGGGAAAGCTCGCCTCCGAGATTCTCACCACCAACTGGAAGGAGGCCGTGGAGGAGCTGCTCAAGGTCAAGGAGACCATTGACGGCAAGCTGTTCAACAACCCCCTGGCACAGCTCAACAACCGATCATGGCTCATTCACTGGGCTCTGTTCCCCCTCTTCAACGACGACTCGACCCGAGACCAGATTCTCGACCTTTTCTTTAGCCCGCCTTTTATCAACAGCATCCAGACTAGCTGCCCTTGGATCCTAAGATACCTGACCGCCACCGTCATCACCGGCCGCGGCCGCACGAGAAACTCTGGCCAGTACCAGAAGCAGCTCAAGGACATTATCCGCATTGTCAAGCAGGAGGCTTACGAGTACTCGGACCCCATTACCGACTTTGTCCGCGCCCTCTACATTGACTTTGACTTTGAGGAGGCTCAACGCCAGCTTTCACTTGCCGAGGAGATTCTGAAGACCGACTTCTTCCTCATTTCTACTGCTGACCTTTTTGTTGATGCTGCCCGTCATCTTATCTCTGAGAGCTACTGCAAGATCCACGCCCGTATCGACATTAAGGATCTGAGCGCGCGTCTAGGTCTTGGCCAGGATGAGGGAGAGAAGTGGATTGTCAACCTGATCCGCGACACCAGAGTGGATGCCAAGATTGATTACAAGGAGGGTACAGTAGTCATGAACCACCCGCCCAGCAGCGTGTACCAGCAGGTGATTGAACGGACCAAGGGTGCCTTTTTCAGAACCCAGGTTCTGAGTGCAGCCGTTGCCCGATAGAGTGGGCAGGTGAATGGGCACAAACAGAATCAGATTGGGATCTGGTAGATTTTGCCCCTGGCGGTAGTCAGAGAGCGAAAGAGAGCAAGAACAGAAAGGCATGCATGCGCGGCGTTACAGGGTGTCCGGAATCGGCTAAAAACCAATAGGCGGTTAGACTTGCTTGACTGTATGGATAAGTTTAGTTGCATTTTTGCTTCTTCAAGAACTAATGAACAAAAAAAAACTACAGTGAAATGGAAATTCCCCATCATCTCGATTGGTCCATGTCTGCTTGCGGAAGGGGGATTCTAGAATTTTGCACTCCACACAGACAGACACGACAAAGTCCCATGTCAATTTTTGATTGTTCCATTTACGACTAGCAAGTATTCGTAGACTGATTGTGATTTGCTGCGGTGATCCCTCCGACTCACCAAACCCACCGCCCACGTCCCCGAGCTTCCGTCACTAATCTGTCATTTACAGAAACTGCTGATTTTGGGTTACATGACGTAGAGATCGGCAACCCCACCAGGCCGTTTGAAGGGTGAGGCGCTGACCCGAAGCGAACTCACACCAAGCTCACTAAAGAAGTCCCCCGGGACCCTGCATTATTTGCTATCTGCTTTTTTTTCCCTCACAGGGACCAACCACTGCTAGGTGTTTTGCTACTATTACTACTACTACCACCACCACCATCTACTTTTAACAGATTATCCACTTCGGCCTTTGAACCCTTTTTTATTAAATCTTATCTCCCCTGTATGCGGCCTTTGCTCGTGGTATATATCCTCGACCAAGTAACAGTTTGGTGAGGGTACACCCTTTTATCTTTTGAGAGAGATCGATTTACCATGTGCCATGCGCTTGGCACAATAGAATAGATCTGTTCGATGCTGTCCCATTTCTCCTTGACATGACATGGCGGACATAGAAGGACCCAGCACAGGACCAACTACGCCGTTGGGCGCCCCGTCGTTGGCTTCCTTCTTGGGACTTTTACCTCCGCCCGGATTCTCCTCCATCGCCATACCGATTCCCAAGGGCTCCATCTATCTCAACCCCATGCTCACCGAGGAGCCTTCATCCATCACGAAACCCGTCAGCGCCCCTACTTCGCCCTCTGTGTTGCCCGCTCCCCCCAAAAAGGCCGAGCCAAATGGTGCCTTTACCCTACTCATTGTGAATGACAATCCGATAGATAGAAAGGTATGCCACATCAAGTTGTGTCTTGTTACTCTTTTGCACAACCGAAATCGTGGGTGAGTACATGAACGATCATATTGACGCTTCTCTTTTCCTTAGATTCTTGCAAAGATCTGCGAGAGATGGGGCCAGCCGTATGAGATGGCCGAAAATGGCCAGGAGGCTGTTGAAATGTATAAGCGAGATCCAGTCAAATTTAGATGCATCTTGATGGGTAAGTAGCTACACCGTCTCGAGTCCAACCTGACCAAGCCATACACCCGATTTCGACTCGAGCTCACTCTTGATCTTTTCTCTCAGACCTCGTCATGCCAGTAATGAACGGATTCGAGGCTACGGAACAGATTCGCAAATTCGAGGAGGATTCGTGGAATACCTACTCAGAATACCTCTCCTCTCCGTCCTCCTCGCGAAAGAACGTCGCCTCACCAGAACCAGTCCGGCGCTCCGTCATTGTCGCGCTGGCACCCTCGTATGCCGTTGCAGGGATCCACCAACGGATCGCCAACGCTGGATTCGACCTGTCCATGTGCCGGCCGCTGTACCCCAACACCATTTGCAACATGTTCTTTAGCGGTCCGGGCGTCAACGTGGTTGGCCTGCTCGGCGGTGTCGACGACGATCAGCTCCGGGCCGCGGGCTATCCGCTCAAGGTGGTGCGGCGCAAGCCAAGCAGTATCGGCGAACGAGAAATGGGCGAGGCCCTCGGCCGCGCTGTTGCTTAAGAGAGAAAATATGAAAGAAGAAGAGAACGTCCACATTCAGGACTTCCAGAGCAGAATTGCTCTTGATTATATTACCCCACCAACCTCCAATTTACAAGGGAAGAACCCTTTTGATGAGCACAGATACTGGAAGGAGGTTATCAAATTAGTCCCCTTTTGTGTAGGTTAGGTATGATTTTGTTTTATATGGGTTCATAGCGGCATTGGGTGGCGTTTCGTTTATTACATTATTCTCTCGCTCCAATTCAGTATAGACAAATCAATAAAAAATCGAGTTGCAATCGAGGTTCAACTCTAAAACACTTGGCAAAGCATGGGTGACTATGTTTGAGCAATGTGTAACAGACGAAAGCTACTATAAATTCCATTGTAGATTGTAGGATAGCATTACAACTCGGGGCAAAAAACACTTTATTAAGCCTTCTCGGGGAATTATGAACAGCTGGTTTCCCACATTTTCAACAATACAAGAGGGAGTCAAGAGTAGTAGACGTGCCATACAAGACTATCCAATACCGTTAGCGTAAGTGCTTCGTCCGAATCCTCAATGCCATGGTATAACAACAGTGTATACACGTCCATGGCAAGGATCGTGCGATCTTCTCTATTTACCATCTCGATTCAGTTGCAGGTACTTCTAGTCAGCCGGTCTATAGTCTCACAAGCAGGTTTACATTCTGACGGCGGTATATGACATACGAAATTGTCAAAGTGACACGACTTTTCTCCAACTTGGTATCGTAAAGAGCCTCACCATTTGGTTGGGCTTCAATGGCCTATCTAATTCCAGAGTATTCATTTCCCTGGCTAAATCGTCCCATGTACTGACTAGCTTTCCCATACGGGCGGGCTAGCCTACGAATCGATTGCCGGGATACGCTGTCAAATCGGCCATGAAAGACAAATCTCGATCAGAGCCAACAACATAAGATGCAAATATGTACTTATGCAGATAAAAAAAAAACGATATCTAATCTCTCGATGCTCATTCCAAGCATCACGAAATCAGTCATTAAAGCAAGTCATGAGTGTGAATAGCTTTGCGATGAATCCATCTACATAGTAAAAGACTGCATCGTCGACGGGACCCGCAAAGTTCGTGGCCGTTGGAGTGTATTCGGCGGGGCCATAGCCGGGCTTTCCACTACTTACTTGCTTGCCTCAAAAAACCAGCCCCGTAACCAAGAGTCCAGACCTGATCCGTCATGACGCAACCGATTCAACAATTGTAAAAAGACGATAAAGATCTCGGCCAACCGTGCGAGGCCAATCCGGAACATAGCTGGCCGCCGGGTACATGCGTCCATAGTTGATCCAGGGCAGCATTTTGAGGCGATTTGTAAACGGGCCTCGTGTGTGTGTGTGTGTGTGTGTGTGTTGTTTTTCCTTTCCTTCTGGGCCCTTGAACTGTTTCGTTGGTACTTTGGATCGCCATGGCATCTTCCGACTATAACCCGGCGTTCCCGCGCAGCATCGCCGCCGAGGACAAGATTCGTGCATTTGTGTCGAATTTCTACCAAATCTCGGATGACCCGACCAAGAATGAGGAATGGGTCTCGCACTTTTTGCCTGATGCCGTGCTGGTCATGGGTCCGGATAGGGCAGAGGGCGTCAATGGTAGGTCTGCTTTTCTTTTTTCTTCCCCTGCCACTGGCGTTTTTGGGATATCTTTAATGAAGTGAGAGAGCCAGAAATCCGAAAGATCCGAGAAAAGATGTGGGAAAAGGTGGCAGCACGGAAACATCAGCCCCTCAAGGTCTTTGAGAGCAATTTTGCCGACGACGGGGGCGCACAAGTGACAGAGTACATGCTGTATGGCGACCTGGTGTACAAACTAAAGACGGGCGAGAGCCAGGGCGTCTCGTGGGCCGGCAACATGGTTCTGAAGCAGGTGGAGGGCGAGCTCAAGTTTAGCTACTACCGTGTCTATATACAACGCTGAGGGGATCTGGAGGAAATGGATGCAAAAATGCATCAATATGAAACGATAACTTGGTCTTGTTGAAATATTGTTCCATGCTCAAGATGATTCGACACAATTCGCACGACTTGGATACACGGCACGCCTGGATGCCTTTGCTCTCAACATGTCCAGTGCTGTGTTTTCTCGTCGAGCTTGGTGCCTCCTTCTTGTCTCTTATAGCGACCCGAGGCAATGCATGACCATGTTGGATACTTCTTCAGTAATATTAAAAAGGCTTTCCAGCAGAATCTGAGATTGGAAAATCCGGTAAGCCCACAGGATATGTAAAGCTGTGAGCCAATTTCGTATACAGTGTGCAATGGCTGTCCAAATTTTCGATTGCATTTATCTTGTCAGTAGCGAATAGATGGACTAGACACTACCATCTCGACCAAACTTTTAGATTTGAATGGGATTTATTTTGGTTCTCGATATGACTGGCAAATGGAAGGATAGCGATTATGAATACGGACAGTCAATAATGTACACTTGGTAAGACATGTCGATTGATTATAAGCATGAACCATACTACTTGGTGCAGTACCTCGTGGACTTCACTTGCATGACCAAGGCTACTGTATAAAGGACTTGCCTAGGTAGATTATAAAGCAAAAGAATGCCTAGGTAGGAATCTAGCTTTTGCTATAATCCTGCTTGGCAATATACATATTTTGGGCCAGGGATATAGACTCCTTACAGGGCCCCCCGCTTGCTGCTGTGTAGTTTTGTGGAGAGTGTGGGGTAAATAAGGGAGCCGAGGCACTTGAGGGTCCGGGGAAAACGAAACACCAAATAAATTCGGTACAAGACGCCTATTGCCGTGCTTATTTGCGTGGATGCGCATCATTCTGCGAAAAAGAAAGACACAAGAGGAGATCAATTCAGAAAACTATCGTCGGTCATCATCCCAAGTTGTTTGCGATTCATTGACCTGTGCGCCATTGCTGTCTCGAGTTTCGCATAGTAATAACGGGAGAAATTGACATCCCCCATACATCATCACATTGCCCACAATGCCGTCTGCAGCATTTCAAGTCGAGTACACGGGTCGGGTGGCCATTGTCACCATAACGAATGAGAAGAAGCTCAATGCTCTCAGCGGCCCGCAATACTTTGAGTTGTCTCAGATTCTACGGGAGATTGCTACGCACGACGAGGTCTACATAACATTCTTGACGGCCAAGGGCCGGTACTTTTCAGCGTATGTCTTGATTTCTTTTCCCGCAACAATACGCCCATCATTGCTTGGGCCCCCCCCCCTTCTTGAACCGCGGCAACTTTGATATACTGACATGCTTCGACAGCGGCGCCGACGTCTCCTTTGGCAAGAGCGTGCCAGCAGACTCGGACCCGTACTTTGAGTGGCTGCGCTCCTTTGTCGCCAACAACCTCAACGCGACGCAGGCCTTTTACACGCACCCCAAGATCCTGGTCGTGGGGCTCAACGGGCCCGTCATTGGGCTGTCGGCCGCCCTGGCCGCGCACGCCGACTTTATCTACGCGGCGCCGCACGCCTTTCTGCTCACGCCCTTTTCGTCCCTGGGCCTCGTGGCCGAGGGCGGCGCCTCGCGCGCCCTCGTCCGCCGCCTCGGCCCCAGCAAGGCCAATGAGGCCCTCATCATGAGCCGCCGCATCCCCAGCGACGAGCTGCTCCAGACGGGCTTTGTCAACAAGATCTTTGACGTGGAAAAGGGCGACGACGCAAAGTTCCGCCAGCTCGTCCTCCAGGAGATTGATGATAAGCTCGGCGAGCACTTGATTGGCGACAGCTTGACGGGCATCAAGGCCTTGATTCGGCAGCCGGAAAAGGACATTTTGGATATTCAAAACACGAGCGAAGTGTTTGCCGGTTTGGGAAGATTCATGAGTGGTGTTCCTCAGGCCGAGTTTGCCAAGATTGCCAGTGGCCAAAAGCGACACAAGTTATAAGTTATTCACACAGAAAGCAAGCGCAGTGAGATATTAAGTGTTTTTTTTCTTCTTGATGATGGATCTTGGTCCATGCTGTATTTTAGCCAAGAAGCCCAAATAAGAGACTTGTCCTTTTCCAGTACTCTTGTGAAGTCTTTGCCATGCGTTCTCTCGCTTCAGTCGGCAAATCCGTCTTCTTGAAAACCTCTTGGGCCAATGTTGCCAAGCTTTCATTTGAATCTCCGCCACTGCCCAAGCTTGTCTGCAATAACAACATGTCGTAGACCCATTGAATGAGGAGCTCCTTTTTGGTCTCGGACTCTTTTGCTGCCTTTTCCTTGAGTTCTAAATCATCATCACCGTCATGTTCCAGAATTCCTTGGACATTAGAGTCTTCCTTGGTCTCTGTGCCCTCCTGATTTTCTTCGCTTTCCTTGATTTCTTTAGCTTCCGGGGCTTTCTCGGTCTTTACATCTGCATTGCTTTCTGAAAATTCATCCAGCTTCACTCGCCATGCATCCGTAAGCTGAGTGCCAAACCTCTTCTTGAGTTTTGTCAGAGCAGCAGGACTCCAGAGGTCCAAACCAGCATCGCCCATGGAGGTGACCAAATTTCGCAGTAACTTGAACGAGTCGGGGGATGGTTGTGAAGGCAAAGCTGGCTCGCCTTCCCAGAGCACGCGGCCAATCACTCGGTTCCTCGTCAAAGCTGTCTTCTGAAACTCCTCTAGCGGTGCGACAATGACATGGCCGACCAATCGTTCATGAAGTGAGGGAACCATCTCCAACCCGAAAGACTTGGTGTTGTCCAGCCTGGGCAGTTGGCTTCGAATGCTACGTATAATGCGAAGCAGATACATTGCAATCTGGCCATTACTGGCATCTTTGTGCGTGTGCCAGAGCTTGCCCAACTGTTCGTCCAGGCTCTGATATGCTTGTTCAAGAGTCTTGTCCAATTGCTCGTGAATCTTTTGCGGGTCCTGCTTGCTTAAAAGTTCTTGTCGAGTCTCAATCGTTTCCTCGTCCTCAATCTCATCCACATCATTATCCCAACGTTGGCGCTGGAGCTGCTGAACAATTTCCTCCACGTCATCAATCAAACGGTACCATGAGCTGTAACTCGAGACTGCTCGGGATGCGGCATCGTTCCTGCCATGAAGACGCGAGAGGACCTCGTGAGAGATGTGCTTCGCGCCGATACTTACATCCATGTTGAGCATCTCCTCATCCCAGAGGCTCTTTCGAGGATCAACGGCGCCAGCTTGCCAAGTGTCAAGTGTCGCGGCGACTTCAGAGCCAATGAGGCGGAGTTTGGACACCTTGACATCCAACACGGCCAAGATACGTGTATTGATGACACCACGCAATCCATTTAGCAATTCGGACGGATCAAAACCTCTTGCCTTGCCGCCTTCTCTGACCCAATGCTGCAGGACCTTGGTCCGCAAATCGATAATTGTCTTGAACTCGGACATGTGTGCCAAGGTCTTGCCGAGTCCGTCGAGTAGTGTTTCGCCGCCTTTCTTGGCCCAGCTTGTGAGCATCGACTTGGCTAGTATCCCATCCAAATCATCGTGCCGTATGAAAGGAGTAAAGTATTGAATGTCGTCCCCACACCATCTCTCATAAACGTCTAGACGTAGTCCCTCCAGTGCTTTGAGTGATGCATCAGCTAGCAGAGGTCGTCTCTTGAGGTCGGCTAGAGCATCTGATAATTTGTTGGGCACCAGAGACTGGACATCAAGCAGTGTTCTTGTGTAGAGATCAAGCCCCCGCAGTACATTCCCAGTGTTTCTATCCCGTTCGTGCTCATCGGCGTCGAACTCGAGGACTATGGCTTCGCCTCTTACATTCAGGAAATGACGCAGGACGTCCTTTGCACCTGAGCTCTCTGCCAAACTGTATGCACATAGCGCCTTGAGAATATCGCCCTGGTCCGCGTCGTTGCTGACCTTGTCGAGAATCTTGCCAATCCCTCGCAGCAATCTATTCTTCAAGCTTCTCTGGCTCTTCTTTGCTGTTTCCAATGCTGTCCGCAGATTGGCTTCCTCGAGCGTGCTCGCATCCCCGAAACTAGCAATGAGTAGCCGAATCAGAACCAAGGTCCTCGCGACCAAGACGAGCCTCTCGCCTCGGCCCTCCTTGCCGCCCTTGAGCAAACGCCCGGCCGTCAGGGCGCAGGCCTCCAGCAGCTTGACTCGGGCGGCCCGGCTCAGCTCCGCCTCCACGTCGTCGCGGCCGCGGAAGCCACCGAGACCAGCGACCTTGCCCTCCACGACAGTCCGGCCACACTTGCCGCCCATGCGCCCCAGCACGATTTGCACGTCGCTCATGTCCCGGCGCATCTGCACAATGGTGTCGGCGGTACCCAGCAGCTCGCGGTAGCTGTTGCCGACCTGGGTGCGCAGCCGCGCAGCCTTTTCGTCAATTTCCACATGGAGCGTCTTGTGGATCGCGCGTATCTGGGGCAGCGTGTAGGTCTCGAAGACCTGGCTGGACGAGGTGAGGTTCGAGGTATCGGGCGCCGCCATGACGGGCTTTGGCTCGCGGCGATTCGCGAGGTCCAATCGAGGAGTTCGAGGTTGGCGGGGTCTGGCTAGTCCGTCATTCGAGTAAGGCAGCAGATTGGCAAGCGATTTCCAAGGGAAAGCTCGCCTCAGAGACAGGTGTCGGCGTTTGCAGTAAGGTGCTTGTAGTGTGATATGCCCGATTGTTCACATGGGAGGACGAGGTACTGTAGCTTAGCTTGCATGGGACAGGTGGCCGCCGCCAGCCAAGTCCCGCTAGACGGATCCCCACCACTACATTTACGCTCAGCCAATATGATCATACAAACCTTGAATGCTACTATAATTTGGAGATGATTGTTGAAAAATGCAATGCTATATTGTGTCTTCTTCTTGCATGAGAAATAGAGACGCAATGAGCGAGGTCTAGAGTCACAAAGAAAGAAAGAAAGAAGCCAATAATGTATTTATGAATAAATGAGCAAACCAGGAATCCCCAAATGTTGGCAACATAGACACAGCCAGCAGCATGACATTTGATCTGCTTGGAAGTAGAAAATGTTTCAGAATTATCCGAATTGACCAATTGGCTCTCTTTTCTATAGAATCTCCCTTCCAAGGCATATGCTATTTGTTCTTACCTGTGGTGACGTTCTTAGCATCCTGGACCGTTCTTCTTGGCCGCAAAAAATCCAGGAAATGGTTGAGAACGGCGAAATCGAGCCTCGTATTGATATATCTCCTCATATTGGATTTTGTCATCGTCTGTTCGATTCATGTCCCAATCTTCTGATATTGGGCAAACCCCATTTTTGGGTGAGCCACTGCCGCGACAACACTATTTCACGGTCAGACTGCGTATCGAAAGGATGATGGAAGTTCGTGTGTAGCATGATATACGTGCAAAGATTCACCACTTCATTGGCAATGTGCACAACGGAATATTGAATTGGAATGACTCACATAATTGATGACCCGATGCCAATCCCCACCAATCGTAGAGCGCAGCAACAGCCACTCCGTTTTGCCTTGAGCATCAGCCGACCCGGTGATGAAACCACAGATACAAGTATAACTCAAGCTCAAGGTGTTTCGTATTTCTTCCAGAAGGACAGGCAGGGATATCTCGCCAAGTCTGATATTTGAAAGACACACTTCTCGAAGAGATTCCTTGTGTCGCTCCATCACACTCATAAAGTCTTGTTGTCCCTCTTCCATATTCCTCAGGGCCAGACTGTGGAGGTACCTCCATGTACGATCCGAGGGTATTATATCATCGACGGAAGCACCAAACTTCCGTGAGTGGCCTATCGAGGAGAAATCCACATTCAGGACCTCGAGGTGAGGGAGAGTGCTCAGGAAGCTCCGCAATGCGCCTGACCTCACCACCTCGCGGCACGCCGAGGCTTGGCACGGCGACCATTTTCCTAGGGTGAAGACCAGCTCAAGATGTCTCAAGTTTGAGAGTGCTTGAATAGGTGTGCTCAGTACACTGACATTGTGCTCAATCACCCGCCAGTGGACGGGGCCGAGGCGCAAAACTTCGATCTTGGCGGCTGCTCTTTGCAAGGCGGAGAAGACGGCCTCGACATGACGAACCAAATCAAACCCGGACTTTTGGCTGCATTCATAAAAGAGTTCATCAAAGGGGGACTTGAGGTTGTGTGGATTGTGGTCAGGGAAGAAGTACACGTCTGGATTGACAGTGATGGACTGGAGCTGTGGAAGGCTTCCTATTACTTCAGCCAAGCATCTGAAATCATCTTTGGCATCAATCAGCCTACGCTGAGCCGCGAGCTTGTCTTTATACCGCGCATATTGTTCTTGTAAGTCGTCTGAGGAATGTTCGAGCTCCCTTCCATACTTCAAGATCATGTACTCTGAATGTTGTTCGGCAAAGTCGTCGGCACACACTTCGTCCACGATCGTTCTGCCTCTATACACGAGAGATCGTATGCATGTCGGATACTTCTGCGTGACATGTCGAAGGTGTCGCAAATCGTCCGTGTGTAAATAAAAGGTAATGTTTTGAAAGAAGATGTAAGCGCTAATATCGTTGAAAGTCTTGCATGCGAGACGAAATTGGCCGACGTCTTTGAGTTCAAGGTGCGAGAAAACAATGTGCAGAACTTCGGATGGAAATGCGTCCATGGAAACGCGTGTCCTTTCGAGTTTGCTTTGTGTGCCAATGCGTCCAGGACAGGTTGGATTTGAGGTGGGAATATACTCGAAATGATTGCTTCCCCATGTGCTGACAAGCGGGATTGGATCTGGCCTTGTTGCACTAATTTCTGATGCTAAGTAAACTTCGGTTACATGAGCTATTTATTATCATGAGTAGGAGGCCTCTTGATATTGTTAAGGCTTTCTTCCGAATTAGGCACTTTCTGCACCTTATACTCCTCATAGTTATACCATGCAGCTAAACTGCTCATACAACGGATGCTGGTACTAGCCGAACCCCGCCTGGCATTACAAGCAACAGTGTCATTCAGTCGAATCATTCCTCAGTGTGCTTTCCCAGCCGCACTGGGGAAACAAAGTTATTCCTATGTATGCCACTTGACTTGGAACTCACTGAAATCAACCTTGAGCGATGCGTTGGCATTCTTTTCCGGGCGAGCAACCAGTGGACTAACATCCAAGATCCACTCCTCTCCCCCAGTCTCATCCTCGTCGGCAAAGAACCAGCAGATCTCCCGCATTGGACGCTTTTCTTTCACTTTGCCGCTCTCGTCGAGGACAAGATGATAAACCCACGCACTTTTTCCAAGCTCATCTGCCTCCCGGACTACCTCCAAAGTCAGTCCCGACTTGGAGTAATCTTCGACAAGGGGGACGATGCTCCAATCGGCCCAGCGGTCACAGGCCACGGTGCTGAGATGGGGTTTGCCATTATATAGCTCCAGCCCCAACTTGACCCATTTGGCTGGCTGGGTAGAGGACGAGTGTTTGAGTACTAAGACCAGCCCAGCTTGATCGTACCGTTCCGTCCAGGGTCCCCAAAATGTCGTCCTGGCCGATCGGAACTTTGTCAGCAGGCCCGACGATGCTCGGGCGATAGGGGCTTGAGTAAACGCATCAGCGGACATTATACAAGACTTTACCCCCCATCATTCCTTTCATGAATAGTACACGGCCTTACCATTCGATACATCTGTAGCCGGCGGCTTCTTCCATATATCGGTTCCGGGCTCGGCCTCGAGCGTAAATTTATCGGTTGTGACATCCATGATAAGCCGAGCGTGATTATTTCGAAACAGCAAGGATTGTGGGGAGGAAGGCGACAGAATGCAAGTTGTCAGGTTCGAGGAAAGTTAACCTTTTAATACGTCGACGTCAAATCCCTTTACCCCTCCCTCTACCCACGATTTTAATCTTTCCCCCACTCACAAAGGTCGACTCACATGTCCGCATATAGAGTATGTGGAGAACTTCGAGAGACACATTCTCGTGCAATCGCAGATGAATATCGCCCTTTTGGGAGACTTGGCATTCATCGGAGTATTTCTCGCAGTTTCCCAATTTAGGTAACTAGGAACGACTGTAGCCAAGCCATTCCGACTATATACACACGATTGTCTTCTGTACGTTTTGTCAGTTGTTTTCTAAGCTGTTTCGTATAATGAAGCTTCGAACGAATGATGACTTATCCTCGTATTAAATGTCAAGTCAATCCGCCGTGTTCAATAAGGATCAGATAGATCTTAACCCACAGTCACATATGTGATTATGCCATGAATTGGCGAGTATGCATATAGTGCGGGCCAGGTAGGGTGGGGAAACTCTAGCGGGCCACATACGTAGAGCCATTCCTATGTTGCCAAATGACGCTGGCGATAGATATCACACATCAATTTCTTGAGACCAACTTCATCTGCCAATTCTCCTTGGTGTCAAACGCCACTCCGACCAGACTTTTCAAGCAGGGTCAATGAATAGAAAGATCTTCGGTCGCTTCTCTCAAGAACTAAGGAACATGTCAAAACTCTCACCAGAGTCAAAAATCAGACTAGCTAGTGGCCATGATCTGCCACAGCTAGGATTCGGGGTTCGTGTTTACTACCCATCAGTCCCATGGACATTCTACTCGAACACTCAGACTGACGAGTGTACGTAGGTGTATCAAACGTGAGTTGGCGCCTGCTAACGCTTGCTCCCCTTCCAGACATCATTGAGCACGTCAAGAAAGACTACTGCTGACGCCACAAAACGCAGTCCCGTAGCGGAAGCCGAGCGTTGCGTGGTGGAAGCCCTCAATGCAGGCTACCGGCAGATCGACTCGGCCTCGGCATACCGAAACGAAGCACCTTGCGGCAGTGCCATTCGGTCCATGGCCTCTACCGTTCCAAGGTCTGAAGTCTTCTTCACGTCCAAGGTTCGGCCGAAAGGTATATCAACATACTTCAACCTCTTGAGCACCACAAACCCCTCCCATCTTCTTTGAATTGATCTACCATGTATGATGTCTTTCGGCTAAAATACAATCAGGCATGTCATACGAGTCCGCCAAAGCAACAGTCACCAGTACCTTGGACGAGACGGGTCTGAACTACATCGACCTGATGCTCCTCCACGCGCCGTACGGGGGCTCCGCCGCGCGCAAGGGGGCGTGGCGGGCGCTCGTAGAAGCCGTCGAGGCGGGCCACGTGCGCAGCATTGGCGTGAGCAACTATGGCGTGCACCACCTCCGGGAGCTCAAGGAGCACATTGCCGAGCTCGAGGCCGAGCGCGGCGGTCCCGGCCGGGGCGGCGTCATCAGTGTTGGGCAATGGGAGGTGCATCCGTGGCTCCCGCGCCCGGATATCGTGAGCTGGGCCCGGGACAATGGCGTTGCTGTACAAGCATTTTGTCCACTAGTCCGCGGCGAGAGGTGGGACGAGCAGGTTCTCAAGGATCTGGCAGCCAAACACGGCAAAACAGCTGCCCAAATTCTTATTAGGTGGAGTTTACAAAAGGGATATAGCCCACTTCCAAAGAGTGTTACCACGTCGCGCATCAAGGAGAATGCTAACGTGTTTGATTTTGAACTTGATGAGGAGGATATGCGAAAGCTGGAGACGGATCAATATGCACCTTGTACTTGGGATCCTACCACAAGCGCTATAGATAATTGAACGGTGATGTATAAAAAGACTATACAGTAACCAAGCCATTTTATGCAATGCCAGAACCTAATCCATCATAAGCCTCAAGTCGCTCAAGCCAGCCGAGCAGTTTGCACCGCATGTAATGTAAGTTCTGAAACGCCTTTTCCGATATGCAAATACCCTGCCCTAAAGGATACTGAACTTTATTCTGCTTTAAATTTCTCCAGTCCGTTTTATTGAAAGCGAGTGTTGAGTGGTCCATGCCAACAAAATAAATTCGAAACGGTGCTTAGGTGTGACCAGATCCAAGGCGTTCGAGTACTGGACGCTGATCCCAGCGTTCTTGGTCAATCTCACTTTCGGCCTCTTCGAAAGCTTCTTCATCATCATCGCCGGAAATCGACTCGTCCTTGCTATAGATGAAGAACTGGGCAAAAATGCCCAAATCGAGAAGGAGTGTGCCGAAACTGCCGGCCAACCACGACAGATTCACCAAGATATAGCGACCATATATCCGGCCAGCCTCACCTGAGCGGCAATGGTTTGGACTGGCACAAGTCGGCTCATATGCAAAGATTGACAGAACATACGTCAGGTTGCCCAGGCACGCAAAAAGGAAGAATAACATGGAAACGCCCTCCACAGACTTGCGACGCCAATTGAGCAGAATCTGGGGCAGACGAGAGCCAAGGTAGAGGACGGCACACAGCCAACCAAAGACCTGACCGAGGACGTCGAATTCAGGCAGGTTGTCGGCTGGCTGGGATGGCTTGCTTCGTGCGTAGCGACGGCTCAGATACCAGCCAGCGATGCCAGCAACACAAACCATCAGGATCGCCACGGCATTTCTGAAGGCAACCTGCAGTCTCGTTGATGGTGGAGGAGGCCGTGTGGGCGGTTCGGAGAGCATTGGTACGGCCGGAGACAGGTGGCTCCAGCTCTGGCTACTGTCCCGTCGTTCCCTAGAGTGAGCAAGCGGTCCAGGACCATTGAGCAGACCTGTCCTTTCGTCTGCTTCGCCCGTGGCTGGCCTTGGTGTCTTCTTTGGAGGTGGTGGCACCACCTCATCCTTCCATGTGAAACCTTTGTAGTAAAAGCATTGTCCTAGCAGTACCATGTCGGCTATGGTGTAGTAAATGGCGAGGATGAGCATCGTTGGCAATACGCCCTGAAATACTGCTCCCAGAATGTTGAAGACATCTCCCAGCAGCCATACAATGATGAATTGGAGCGAGAGACCATCAGCGGAGCTGCGCCTAAAGTTTTCGAGAATCTGCGGGCTGAAGACTACAACCCATGCTGCTATGGATATGGAGCTGGAAGCAGGTGATTGTCAGCACCGTCTGAGATCTTGCCATGATAAGTTTCGACTTACCCGCAAATTCCGGAGATGGCTTCAACATCCAAGTTGAGAGGACCAGTAGGGGGCGCCATGGCTTGGCAAGAGTCATGCAAGGATTTGTGCTTTCTGGTGATGTTCCAGGACGGCACTCAGATGGTGGTCTTTTCGAGACTAAAAAGAGGGAATATGGAATGCAAATTATCGCCCAAGCATCCGCATTGAAACAGCAGAATGGTTTCTACGACCAGAAGAGAAAAAGAGTCAAAGGTGTTAGCAAGTCGTGAAATCTCTTCCACCAGCACAACTCTGATTTTCCTAGCCTGGCTCGCATGGTACGTACAATCATGGTCATGGACGACCGATCACCGGCCCCATGCCCTCGCCCTGGGAGAAAAAAATGACGAGCGATGACGCGCTAGCTTGGCTATTGAAGGACCGTAGCCCCCTAGCAAGTCCCCACAGGCCTTTAGATCCCTGCAGCCACGGGGCCCTTTTCGCGGGGTAGCTTTGGTTGGCTGTCATTGTTTCCCGCCTACCGGTCCCAAAACTCAGTGCCCTGGTGGCCAGCGCCGCATTCGTCGGGGATAACTGGAATCCTTACCGGACCGTACGACCGGGCGTAGTGGACGCAGATCAATTTTCTGATAAACAAGTTCCATACAAACACGATAACCTCGATTGATTGCCCCCTTTCTCTGTATTACCGCGCCCAACGCACGAACCTTCTCGCTGCTTGTCCACCTCGACCACGCAAATTTCCCGTTCTAGCGTGAGAGCAATCTCAACTTGCACCCTTCTCGCCGATCATGTCGCCCGAGTAGAGGGGTTACCATGTCTGCCGATCTCTTCGCGGCCTTCGATGGCCCTTCGCAACCTCCCAATCAAGGGCAAAAGCAACAGCAGAATGCAGCGCAAGCAAAGACGCAGGCAAACGCTTTCTCATCCGATCCATTCGCGTTTTTGAGCTCTGCCGCTCAGAGCCCGGTAGTCTCGCAGACTCAACCATTCCCGTCCTTTCCGTCAACCAACAATGATCCGTGGGGAAGTTTCGCAGGCGGCCAAGGCATTCGCCAGCCGGCAAAGGCTGAAGTAAACGACGACAACGACGACAACGACGACGACGATGATGGATGGGGTGATTTTGAGACTGCAGACCCCATAGCACCGCCGGCCCCAAAGCTGGCCACGGCTGCTACCCCTATTCCGGCCTCGACGAAACCGCCGCCTCAGAACCCTGCCATACAACGGACGAGAATTATAAGGGCCCCAACCATTGAGTTGATGACCAACAGTCTCATTGATATTCCAGGCACAAATGTTTTGCCTGAAGAAGTCAGATCGCCACCATGGATGCGCCAGTCTTTTGACCGAGGGCAAAAATCCACACCGCCGCCAGCAGCGAAACCAATACAGCCCGTGCAGCAGCCCCAGAGGGCCGACCCCAATGTTTTATTTGATGCTGATGAGTTTGATGGAAAGGTCGCGGAAGATGATGATGACGACTTTGGGGACTTTGAGACAGTCGCCTCGCCTGCGCCTGCGCCGGCTGCATCTAGTGATCTATTATCCGATGACCTGTTCAGCCCACCTCCAACGGCTAGACCGACATCCACAACCAAGAGAATGAACACTGCTGATTTGCTCTCCTCTTTGACACTGGACGCGCCAGCATCTCCATATCCCCAAGCACCAAAATCCCCTGCTTTCCGAGACAGAAATCCTTTCCCGGGATTGGGTCTGAAAACACCTACAGAACCGGAACCTGTGCCAAAGAATGAGGATGCTAAAACCGCGACTCCTCTGACAGCGTGGCCGAGCTTCGATAATGATTCTACAAAAACCCAAACGGCCCGAAAGACCCAGAAAATCAATGATGGTTGGGACGCGTTTGATAGCTTGGCCGAGGAGCCTGCCGCCAGCAAGGAGGCAGACACAGCCAATGACGACTGGGGCGAATGGGACGCATTTGATAACCAAAAGTCAGAGCCCGTCAAGGCTCAAGCTACCGGCAGCACGGAAAGAGATGATGTATCGACATGGGCTTGGAACGCAATAGATAACCCAAATGACAAGTCGGTCGATACGAAGGCAGACTCAGCACCACCGATAAATATTCCGCCACCTTCAGTGTTATTATCCATCTTTCCGCAATTACTCGCTCAAGCAAACGATTCGCTATTCAAGCCGGTCAGTGGAAAGTCGACATCTATCAAAAACCGCATCTTGTCCGATCCTAAAACCGTTGATTTCCTGCGAGGTTATCTACTTCTTGCCACTGTAGCCGCCCGAATTATAGCTGGCCGGAAGCAGCGGTGGCATCGAGACAAATTCCTGTCACAAAGCATGTCCATTTCAGCTGCGGGAAGTAAGGGAATGAAATTAGCTGGAGTGGACAAGACACAAGCAATTCGAGAGGATCGAGAAGCAGCCGATGTTCTGGACCTTTGGAAAGAGCACGTGGGTCGTCTGCGCTCAGCAGTAGCGGCGGCCAACCAGTCAATCAAGGATGCATCACAGCAGCTCAAGATACCTGAACTTCGCGACAACATGCAGGCTCAGACGGCCAAGGGTGTGCTGACTGCCCCCAAAGCCTGTGTTATTTGTGGCATCAAACGAGATGAACGGCTAGCGCGGGTTGACTTTGATGTTGAAGATAGTTTTGGAGAATGGTGGACGGAACATTGGGGGCATACTGCATGCAAAAGGTTTTGGCTCAAACATGAGAGTGCCCTGCGCCAACGGTAAAGGGAAGGGGGAGGGTGTCCGGTATATCCCATTGATGAGCGAACATCCGCCTCAGTACATGACAATTTCATCAAACAGGGCTTAGAATATAGAGCATAGATCACATATGTTAGTTGGGAATGTGACAAGTTAGGTATCTAGAACCAGTCAGCGGAGCAAGGAGGTTTTGGCGCAGCACGTTGTCGAGAGTCGCCCACCTAAACCAGATGAAGTTCACTCTTGATCATATCATGGCATGTATCCCTGTTGTTAGGCGATGGAACGAGAGTTATTGGATCACAGACAACAGTTTAAACAATGGAAAGTTAAAAAAAAAAAAAAAAAAAAAAAACAAAAGTAAATAAACTTATTTTTAGTTTAACCGGAACGTAGAGA